CTTGATCCAAGGCATTTTTTCCTGAGCATGTCCATATCCAGTCAAACACAAGGACTGACCACACAGAGCCAGTCCACGTGATCAGTGGGAAATGGTGACCTAAGCAGAACTTATCTTTGCCCCAAAACACTGTGAGGAATAGCACGGTGACAAACATAGATCCACGTTACACCACGCACTGCAGTCACAGGGAGAGGAAAGCACTGAATGAATGGGATTCACACCAGACTCCCTCTGAAAACTGGTGCCCCAGCCATTCCCTGAGGCCAGTTCAGATGTGGTACCAAGCCTGTGCTTGAGTCTGCCAGGAAAACGATGGGAATCTTCCTCCAGGACTGCAGCAAGTGAACTGACTGAGTACTTCCCAGCCCACAAGGCCCTCCTGAAGCTGGCAGCCATACTCACCTTTTCTTCCCCGATTATCTGGTTGGCAATCCCTTCAACTTTCTTGATCTCCTGCGTAGACAGGGCTCCCTTGGCTGTGAAGTCAAACCGCAGCTTGTCGGGTGCAACCAGTGACCCTCTCTGGTCAGCCTCCCCCAGCACTGAGCGCAAGGCGAAGTTGAGGATGTGGGTGGCTGTGTGGTTGCTCATGACTGACCTCCGCCTGGTCTGCAGGAGGAAGGCACTGTTAAACGGGGCCTTGCACCACAGAGCCTCTAGCAGAGGAAACGGTTTATTGAACAGCTTCAGGAGAAACCTGAACCAGCTTGAGGTGACCAGAAACAACTCGTCACACTCACTGCCCTGCAGTCTTGACTTAGGGAGCAGGACAATCCCCAACCAGTTTGAGTGGAGGTAACCAAATGCCAGGCAGAAGGGCCAGAGGAGCCAAGCTACTGCCTGCACCATGTGCTGCAGAGAGGACAGACTCATCCCAGAGCAGCACCAAGGGGACAAAATGAGATAAAACCTTCCTGGGATGAGAGAGGAAGCCACCATGTCTTAACTCACCTCATCAATAGACAGATGGACTTGATCTCCTACTTTCAAGCTCCCATAGATAGTTCCCATGTGAAGCACATACCCTCCTCGGACTTGCACGTTCTTCACTGTGAACTCTGTTTTCTATAGAAAGAGGGAAACACACTCAGTGAGCAGTGTGAGACAGGCCAAGGCAGGGGACAGGTCATCCAGCCAGAGGCCTCGACTGCAGCTGGAAAAGCCTGGACTGGTGTGTGCAGTAGGAGCAAGCTAAGCACCCCCAGGCAGAGCATGCAGGGCTGCAAAGCAGAGCTGAAGTGAGAGCAGTTAGGGGGTGCAGCAGAGCTGAACGAGCTCCTCACCTCATGGTGCAAAAGCACCATCCTGCAGCACAGCTGTCCCAACCACACTGCTGCAGGCACCACATCCTGATGACAGCCAAAAGCTGCAGCATGATGTTCAGAGAAGCCTCCCAAGAAGCAGGGGAGCAAACCCCAGCACACTGAGCCTTGCCACGCGCCCAGGGACACCGCTGCAAAGCCTGATGCCTACCATGGGTGTGGAATGGCTCGAGCTTACTCAACACCTTCCTCCTCCCTGCACACACCTGCCCAGGCCCTAGCTCAGGCTGAGCCTGTGGATGAGGCTCTCGAGCCCACTCACGTCCTCCCCGCTGGCGTCGTCCTTGACCATGTAGCCCTCGTCATAGATCTGCCCGCCCTGCTCAGCGTAGAAGCAAGTGTGATCCAGTACTAGCCCACACTCCTGGCCAGTGGATACTTCCTCCACAAACTTCTTCTCCCTGCGGATGGCTCTCACTGTGGCCACGAGACTCCCAAAATCTGTCACCGGGAGGACAGACAGTGTCAGTAGAATCAGAAAACCTTGCAGACACCGTGTAGAAGCAGAACTTCATAGGAAAGGCTCCCAGCTATTGCACAAGCTCAAGGCAGCTAAACACGTAACGGGTGTAAAGAGGAAGAACTAAGGCAACATTTAGCTGGGGAAGAGGGAATCCAATTGGGCTGTCCGACGCAGGGAATGACACTTCGTCCCCACCGTCTGCAGGACAAGTCAGCCGCATGCGTGGCTAAGAGCTGGGGCTTCCTGGCTCTACAGCAAATTAGAGAATTAGCAGCAAGAGCCAAAACCAGCAAGTGGGTCAAGGGCACTAACAGACCGAGGAGCATCTGCAAAGTTGCGTGGCACTGGCAAGGGTCATGTGGAAATGGAGACACTGCAGTGTGCAGAGAAGAAGCTGCAGGGAAGAGGAGTTCCCTTAAGTCTCTCTGATCAGCTTGGCAGGAACTGATGTGAACAGTCCCTAGAACAGCCCTTGAGCAGTCTGCATTTCTCTTCCTCTGCTCCATTTATTACAAATGCGTTATTCACACGCACACCAGTCCCACCTCCATGTCTCAAGGAAGGTGAGCCCCAAGGGGCCCTTGCTGAGGTTCATGCCAGGAAAACCTGACAAAGCAGCTCCTGCCTGTGAGAGGTGTGAGGAAAGATCTGAGAGCAAAGGGTGGTTCTGAGAAGGCTTTATCATACCATAGGCACCGCTTGGATCCGAAATATAGCTGTATTTCGGCGAGTCATCAGTCACCTCCAGCCCTCGGGCCCTTAGCTCTTCGATGGCATAAATGTCCAGCATGAGGAGGTCCTCCCCTCCAGCACCCTTGCCTTGGGATTTCAGCTGCAAGTGAAAAACACAAGTTTGAGAGAACCCATTTCAGTGCTGGCATGCGCACATCAGCCTGGACACGCGCCTGGGTCAGAGCTATAACGGGGCAAACACCCGTCACCAGCCAGAGAGCTCCCACCTCTTCTGGCTTCAGAGCAGGCTGCTCCCACACTACCAGAAGGCAGCCAAAGCAAGTCTAAGCCCAGCACAGGCCAGCTCATCTATGCCACTCTGTGTTGCTGTATGTGTCAGGAAATGCATCCAAGCTACCAGGCCTGACAGGAGACTCCACTCCTCAGACAAGGAGGACCAGGACTTCCATGGGGACAAAGGGAGTTGTTCCCAGGACCTCATTAATTCTGTCTGCAGACTGAGCTCTAGGCCTACAATATTAATGCACAAACAGAGCCCCAGCTGCACAGAAAAGGCACATCCCGGAGTCTAGTGTTGTGCTCTGCACCCTACAGAGGACAACCAGGGTGTGAGTGTACACATAGGAACAGAGCAGACTGATGAGCACAAGCTTAGAGGAAGGGGCTCCTCCCGGCATCCTCTCGGACCAGCTCCCCAGAGCTGTTGGCTACCTGCGCGTTTTTCCGCTCTTCTTCAAAGCCCTCCATATCCACGACGAGGCCCTTCTCCTCGGCGATGAGCCCAGTGAGATCCACAGGAAATCCATAGGTATCGTAGAGCAGCCAGGCAGTGTCACCTGCAGAGGAAAAGCAGAGCAGTCAGCACTCCTGTACCAGGAGCCATCACTCCTCTCCCTGCTCTCCGACTGGCTGGCCCACCCAACTAGCTCTGTGCTACGGCAGTCAGTAGTTGGCAGGGTAGAAAACTCGTCTCTGGTGAACATGGATACCCGACCAGGCTCTTCACTGGCAGGATCAGGGGCAGAGATCACACTACCATGTTGCCTGGGCAGATGCAGATCTGAGCAAATGAACACAGAGGGGAGAAAATGGGGTGGCCCTGCTCTGAGCAACAGGCTCTTGACTCCAGCTTTCTCCTCCACACCCTCCAGCAGCTCCTAGTCCACCTGGGCCCTGACTCAGTCCCAAAGCATAAGCACTTCTTGGCACATCTGGAAAGGAGAAGTCTGAGCCTTACCAGGGATGCTTTTACTGTCTCCCAAGCTCTGAATTTTCCTGTCCAGGATGCGACGTCCTCTGCTGAGCGTTTTTAGAAATTGATCCTCTTCTTCATTGATGATGTCCTTCACCATATCTGGGTCCTTCTTCAGCTCAGGGAAGGCATCTCCCTGCAGACCCAAGGGCATTAATCCTTCAGCATGGTGCTCTGCACATGCTGGCAAATACAGCACAGTGGGAAGAAAACTCACCAGTGACTGCACCACCACATCAACCAGAGTAGCAAAGAAGCCCTTGGGGGCATTGAGTTTCTCGTGGGAGTAGCGCACAGCCCGTCGGAGAATCCGTCTCAGCACATACCTAGGGGAGAGCAGAGCCCCTCACGCAAATATTGCACCTCCAGTTCATTCCCACCAGATCCCTCAGCACCCACCTACTGGCATCCCCTCCCTGGAGGGAGAACGCAGGGTTCTTCCCCCTCTCTTCACGTTTTCTCGCGAGTAACTGCTCATGGCAGCAGCAAGCCAGAGGTGAAGGTGAATGGGGCAGCCCCATTTCTCAGATACACTAGGTGCCCGCTGCACCCCAGCCCAAACATTGCTGCTTTTTTGACAGCAGCACTGCTGCAAACAGTGCTTTGTATCTACTTGTCCACAGTGATCCTCCCTGGGGGTCGATATAGTGGCACTCCCTGTAGCACTCAGGCTGCAGTGTCTTCATCTTTTAGGGGACTCTGCTGCAGGGTTTTTAACAGTGTCAAACACAGTGTGGCAAACACCCCTTTATCTACTGCTTCAGCGACGCTTTCAGACATTTCAAGGACACACAATAGCCTAACTTCCCCCAACAGGGAAATGTGTTGAACAGCCCACAGACAGCACAGGCTCCCTTCTTACCCTCGGCCAGTGTTGTCAGGTCTGCCCCCATCAGACAGGGCCAGCGTGATGGTCCGCGCGTGGTCAGCGAGCACACGGTAGGCCATGTCTATGCCATCTGCGTCGTCAGCCCCAACCTGCCCCATGTAGGGCCTGGCACCAGTGCCCTGTGCAGGGAGAAGGCAATTGGCATGGGGTGGGGATCAGTGAGGTGGCAGAACTGCAGGGAAAGTAGCTCCCAGGTCACCCTGATCCCCTTTCCCAGGGCATAGGAATAGGGTGCTCCTCTTGGAAGGTGAGCTGATGTTCCCAGGAAGATGGAGACCTGCTGGACTCTGCATGGTGCCAGGATGACCAGAGCAAAAGGGAGACAAGAGTCAGTTTATCACAGGAGTGCATAACCAGGACAGCTCACAGGAAATATCTAGGAAATCCGCACTCTCATATCCCTCATTCTCCTCTGGAAATGTGCCTCAAGGCAGCAATCAGTGGTCCAGCCTGACTTTCTATCTTCAGCAAGGTAGAAATCTGCAAAGTTCACTACAGCTGAGAAAGTGGAGATCTGCAGACACTATCCCTGGCCAACCACTCCCATGAATCTTCCAGAGAGCTCAGGAAAAGGGGGAAGAGACACAGCTGGGTGAGGCTTCAAGCCCAGACTTCCTGTTCTTACCTTTTGGATGGCTTCAAAGTAAGGAATGAAAAGGTCAGTGTCGTAGTTGGACATCTTGTTCTGCAGCACAGAAACCAGCCTCTCCAGACCCATCCCAGTATCAATACTCTTCTTCGGAAGAGGTTTCAGACTCCCATCAGCTTCCCTGCCAAAGCCAAAAAGGAAGAAAAGCTATTACGGATGGGGGCAGTGCAGACTTGGCAATCGCTCTTCTCATCTCCATGTTGTTCTGTAACATTTATGGGACAGGCCAACATGCAATTCCCACACAGGGGAACTTTGATAATATCTAATAAACAAGATCCTCAACAACCTTAGCCCAGATCAGGATGGCATCTCTTTCCTACCTAATCCCCACCAGTGAGTTGAGGAAACATTCTGGATTTGCCCCTCAAACCAGGTGTGAGCAACCTCTTCTGTTCAGGTTTGCTGCAGGACAGAGCATTGCAAATCACACAGCTCCAGGACAAAGAGGAATGGTTAATAATTCCAATCCTGTTGACCGCAAGGGCCTCATGGGAGTTGGGAAGACACTGAAGGGTGATCCCAAAGGACTGAATGAAGAGCCAGGCTCCTATGGGTGCCCCCAGGTCAGTGACAGTGTGTCCAGCCTCCAAATAACTCAATTGTTCTCACTTCTCAGTGGTGCAATACCAGCTCAGAAGCTTGTACAACATCTAAATCGCTGGGAGATGTTCTTAGGTACAGGAATGAAGCCATAGCAAAGAGCAAGGCCATAAAGAAACACCTGTGTCAGAGGGCTGAGAGTGGCCACACTGCTAAGTTGGGTGAATCATAACAAGAGAGGAGGCTAGTGGCTAATGGCACTCTACATGTTTAATGAGGAGCAGCACGCATAAACACAGGACTCACAGTTCACCCTCACTCCCCATTCAGCAGCTCAGAAGAAAAATGGGCATGAGAAATTGTGCTAAGAGCTGTCACTAACTGCACAGCCTGAGCAACTTCCCATGCAAAGCCAGAGCTGCCTGGAGGTTCAGGGCTCACCCACCTGTTGAATTGTATGAACACCAGGTTCCAGATCTCCAGGACATTGGGATCATCTTGATTGACCAGGTGTGAAGCATCTCTGTCCCCGATCCGGTCGTAGTGGATCTCGCTGCAAGGGCCGCAGGGGCCCGTGTCTCCCATTTCCCAGAAGTTATCCTTCATATTGCCAGGCAGAATCCTGCTCTCATCCAGCCTGTAACAGGAAACTTTTGTTGAAGAGGCTTATGGCAAAGCAGGAATCCCCGGAACTGAAGATTATACCAAACAAATCTCAGTTCAGCAAGTTCCTGAGCAAGCAGAAGAGCAGCCAAGGTCCTGAGACAGATCCATTCAAGAGCCCGATTCCCAGGCTCCTACCGTCTACTCACCTCCCTGCTGAGGAGGACCAGGCAAGCAGCAGCACCTGGCTCCTGCCTCGGCAAATAGAAGCCTGCAGAACTTCTCAGTGAAGGCCCAGTCAGGAGCACAAGTGGATATCTGGCTTTAACACATGCTGGGCGGGTTGGCCCAATGGTCTAGCTCTGTGTCCCTGGGTCCATAGCACATTTCAGAGAGGTCAACAGCCACAAGAGCAAAGGCATTTCATTGCCTTTGATGGCAACGTTGGCAGGCCCACAGCTTGACTGCTACGTGCAGTTCTGCTTTCCACAGCTCAGGGAGGATGAGGCACAGGCACAGAAAGAACAGAGAAAGAAACTAAAGCTACCTAGTGGTGGAATGTTTGCTTTACGAAGAGAAGCTAGAAATTCTAAGAGTCTTCAGTCCGGAGGGGAAATGGCTGAGGATATGACTAAGAGTTACGAAAATCCAACAGGCTCAAGAGGAGGATCAGGCACACTCCCCATGCAGCTGGGAGTGCAAGTCCCTTATTAAATCTATCCCGTTTAATCCCTCACAACTCTGAGCGCCAGCCACAACCAGGCCTCCTGCTCTTCTTGATCACCATCTCCTCCTGCTGCTGTCAGAGGCTGCATATGGCACTGAAGAGCTTGTTGGCCTGACCTAGTGGGACACTTCTTATGTTCTTAAGCTTATTCAAGAGATTTTGAAACGAAAGATCTAGGGCACAGGTCTTAGTCTCTTCCACCTAATCCAGTGCTTCCCTTTGGCTTGACAGCTCCACCACGCTGCAAACACACCAACTCTGCTAAAAGTTCCTGTTACAAGTACTCTGCCTCATAAGGCACATCACCCTTCTCTGAACAAAGGCAGATAGTTTAATAAGTTGCAAAAAATTAGAGATTTTTTAATGGGAGAAAGCGTCTGTCACAAAAAAAAATGGTTCTTTGAGTGTTTGAACACAACTTCCAGATGCCTTCCTTGGTTTACATGTCCTCTCAATTCAAACCCACCTTCCTCAATAGTTTAGACCACCTGCACGTGATGGCTAAATTGGACAGAGCTACCAGCACTTGGATGTACACTTGTGCTGGGGACAAGCAGACCCAGAGACGTGTAGTCCCTCCGAGCCACAAAGGCAGCCTCCAGCAGTGCCCGTCTGATGCCTTCCCTATTGCTCACCAAAACACACAGCCTCCTTGCTTGAAGGATCTTACCCCAAATCCAGCCAAATCTGCTTGCACTCCAGGTCTGGCTGCAGTCCTGCAGCTTCATTTCCACCAAAGTAAGTGACATAGAGTCTTTCAATGGGGATGCCAAACTCCTTGGTGAGAAGGTCCAGAGCCAGTTTACAAGCAAGTTCCTGCAGAGGGAAAGATGAGGTGAGCAAGTGAAAGCAAACAGAGCTTCGCTTCAACATTCAGTATCTGCCCATGCAGGTTGCTGTACTCACTACCTGACTATGACCTGTCCAGGGAGTCTCTCAGGCATGCAGAAACTTTCCATGCCTGACTTGGGGCCATTCAGAAAATCAGGAAACTAGCCTCCACACAACTATTCAGACAAGCGAGTCCAGAAGTCTCCCTGTGCTAGCAGCTCTAGCAAATGAGAACTGGACTAAAAGAACTTGCCCAGTTGTTACGAGAAATACGCAGTGCACAAGGATTATCTCATATAGATTCCCGAGGCAGCCAAATTAGCTCCTAGCAGGTTTTCTGCCTAAAAGAGTCCAAGGCCTCTCAAATCTGGGGCTATTCTGTATTCTTAACAACCCTTTTATGAAGCTGAATCGTTCTCTAGCAGGAAGCTTGGGCAAGGACTTTACCATGTTGTCACTGCTCCTGTTTGAGATCCATCACAGTCACAGCATACGCTGCTTGTCACGGCTCCAGGGCAGTCACTAAAACCTCTACCTGAAAACTCCAAACTAGCAGTGATTTTTAATCAGCTTTCCATCATTAAGTAATCAATCTAAAAACATCCTGCAGCATGGAGTTTTTCCTCCACGCTCATTTATTCCAAAGGAGCCCAATGTGCCTTAGGAACCTTTGGAACCACTCCAAATCAAGATTATTTTAATTCCTCTTGGCCCATTTGTATGACAAACACTCTGCTGAATTTGCAAAGAAAAGTAATTTTGTGCAAAAGATTCAGAGCTGCCAATTCTACCTTGAAATAATCCCCAAAGGACCAGGACCCCAACATCTCGAAGAAGGTGTGGTGGTAGACATCCTTTCCCACGTCATCCAGGTCGTTGTGCTTGCCCCCAGCTCGGATGCACTTCTGAGTGTTGGTAGCTCTGTTCAGTTTGGCGAGCGGGTGCGAGGGGTCGATAGTATTGAGGAAGATTGGTTTGAACTGTGAGGAAAGAGGGGAGAGAAGCCTAAGCCAAGGAAGACATTGTAAGCTCATTTACCAATGTTGCAAGTTACAGCAAGGCAGGGGGTGTTATCCATCTCATGATATGTCACCAGCCTGGACATAGGTGGGACCATTCAGAAACACCAAGCCTGCTGTCTCCTGCACTGGAGAAGGTGCACAACTCCTGTTCCTGGAGCACACTGAGTCCCAAAAGGGATTTCCAAAGGGGCAGGAAGTAGCCAGATTCCCAGCTGACAATAAAATCAGTGTTGACCTCCTATGAAACACCTTCAGCAATCCAGGCCCAAACAACGCATTTTAAGTTATTAGCCATCTGTGCAGGTTTCCTCATGCGCTTATTTGCAGCACTACTTGTGGTCTAAAGGGTCAAGGGAGGGATGCTGGCAGTGCTCCCGTGGCTGCAGTCAGCCCAGCAGACAAGGGAAGCTCTCCCTGCGTTTCTGCCAACTCCACAATAACGCAGGGGACTCCAGCAGATGCACCAGCCATCTCGTTGCCACAGGAACGGGCATCAATGCTTTTCCAACAGCCTGCAGAAGAGATTGCTAGTTTGTTTGGAAACTCTGTCAAAGGGACAAATATTAACCTCGCTAAAGCAAAATCAAGAGCAATGTGCGCAAGATCAGCCCAGCCCCTGGGAGGTGAAAAAAGGATTCCCTGCAAGCTAAAGCATTTACAGAGCCAGCCACACCTGGTGAGGGGCCACCCAAGAGCTGAAAGGCAAAGGCAAACGGAGTGGGAATCCTACCTGATTCATGCCGGCGTTGGCGAAGAGCAGCGTGGGGTCATCCAGAGGGATGGTGGAGGAAGAGTGCACGTAGGTGTGCTGGTTCTCCTGGAAGAAGGCGATGAAGCGCCGCCGGATCTCGCTGGCTGTCAATGGACCTG